AGCTTTTTCGTCTCGCAAAACTCCAAATTCCGAAATTCTGACCAAGTGTTTATCATCAAACGAAATATAACTCATTCAAACTAGGACTTTGTCCCAACTGATTTACCTAGCTCATATTTATACATCCAACTCTTCGTTCTCGCGAAAAGGAACTTCAACTCTCGTCTTCAATTCAATCACTTCTTTTTTCTTACTGTCAATCCATTCTGTACCGCATTTTTCAGCTTTGTGAGTTTGTCTATTCGACATCTCTTTTTCTCACAGTTCACAAGGCTTAATTGATCCTAAGTAAGCAATTATAAATCATCTCCAGGGAAGTCCAGGGACATATCTAACTCTTTGATAACACTGGTTTGATTTATATCCTGCAGGTCTGCTGGGATAATTTTGTTGGCAGGCACATTTTGGTGTACTTGAGATCAAATGCAGCATTGGCTGAGTACTCTAAGTCTGGAAAAATCTGGCAGAGGGAAACCAATTCTTTTGTAATCCTTTTACTAATACTACAGAAGGAATGCTTCCACTTGACACCTAACAGTAAATAATGTTTTCAGCAAAACTTTACTGCTTGAAGATTCTAGAACATTTTGTGATTTTTTCTGGACTTAGGCTCTCCTGGATGGACTTTTTAAAATTATATTGCCTGGTGGCACAAAATTCTGCAAATTAATCTTGGCGCATCATCATAGAAATATTAATTGCAGTGGACTCTCTCTCTCTCTCTCTCTCTCTCAGAGAGAGAAACAGGAGGAATGCTTAAAAAACTGCAATCTAACAGTAAATAATGTTTTCAGAAATTTTTTTCTGAGTGAAGATTCTGAAATAGTTTGTGATTTTTCTGTACTTAAACTCTCCTGGATAGGTTATTTTAATGATATTGCTCTCTCTCGCTTATATATATTCAATGATCTCATTTATCTTATATATACAGTATCATATAATCTTATACGCCAGGATTTTCTCTGAACAATGAATTTTATTTGGTCAAATACCAGGTTTCTCTCCCCACGTTTAGCGGTTCTCCACAAAAAAATTCTCTCGTCAATGAATTTTCTTTTGATTCCTTGAATTTCATTGTAGAGAGAAGTCTACCTGTATTTGGTGGCGTTTAGTTGGGTCTGGGTGCATACATACGGTTCTCAGTTCAATTTCATAATGCTACATATAGATAATGCTGCTTTTTAAGTGCCACACAGTACCTGTACGCATGCAACAAAGTCTGTCCGCTAAACTCTGTCTTGTCCGCCGGAAACGCCACCGCCACTGTCTCGGCGCCCAAAAAGTGCGCCTCAGAGCCCGAAGCGTTCCCAAGGTTCCGAAAGCGCTCAAACAGCTCCTGCTTGAGCCCGACCCCAGTGTCGACAACAGTCGAGATCCCATAGAACCCGTGCGTCGCAGCAGTGGAGAACCCGGCCACGGGGGTGACGCGGGGGGCCAGAACTAGGTTGCGGATGTGGAAATTGTGGCCCGGGTCGCCCGATTGGCGGTGGGTCGCCGGCAGGGCGCCGGTCACCCTGGCCGTGAGGGACTGGAAGAAGCTTTGGTTGGACGTGGCGTCCAACATGCCGCCGAGACCGTCGGCTCTCTGGCCGACTTTCGGGTGGTTGATGTAGGTGAGCATGAGTGTGGTCACGTTGGAGGCGTCCGTGCGTTTGTAGAAGGCCGACGGCATGCCGGACTCCACAAAGGATCTTGGAACCTGCAATAAAAACGGTCAACATTTCATTCATCTGCAGCATAAATACATTAGTTTGCGCATCACCAGGGCACCTTCTCTTCTTATATCCAGCATTTCATACTGATGGAAACATGCTTAGGAAAAATTTACAAGTACTGGAATTCAATGCAGAGACCCTTTCTGAAATCTTAAAGGATCAAAATAAACTTTCGAATTTACATGACTTCTCATCAAAGATTCTTTCTAATTTGTTCATTCAACTAATACAGAAACAAGCTGAAAGCCTTGTGCTTAAAATTAATTTTTAAATATATATATTTTACCAATGTTGGGGAGTAAATGGGTGTATGCATACCTGTCAGATGTCCAGTTGTATTTCATGTTGTTATGTATTTTCTTTCATTTTTGTTATCAATTTGTGCTTTCCTGCCCTGAAGTGATTAAATGGCATTGAGTGGATTTGGGTTGGGTGGGAAGGGGGTGTGGTTGTGGAAATCTTGATTGAACCTTGTGAATGCTGAGAAGCAGCAAATAAAGTGTTTTGTTCATTCATTCATTCATTCATTCATTTCATTCTTCTTACTGCACTTTTTCACGTATGAAAACCAGTATTAATCTGTTTTCTGACTGCTGCACAGCAGAGTTTGAGATATTTTTAGTTATTTTACTTGAGTTGGAGAAAAAAGTCCAAATCAGGAATACACCAGGGCTGTCCCACTTGGGCGAAACGTTGGTTATGTCTTTATAGTATAAGTTATGACTGTCAGAAACTAATGATATAGCTAATGATCTTGTAATTTGACTTTTTTTATACCATTTTATTTTAACTATACACCATGATAATTGAAAACTTTCCAGGTATAGCCAGAGTTGTCCACCCATGTTAGAGAGTACTAAACAATTTTCAGGCCAGCTAAACAATGGCAAGTTTTGGTGGCTTTAATCATTTGCTTTCTCTAAATTTCAGATAATGGTTAACGCGACCAAGAAAATTAAATTTTCAGAGGACCTGATAAATTTTCAGCATCCTATAACATGGGTGAAGAAATTCACGCAGCCATGGAACTGGAAAGTTGTTACTTATGGTACAGTGAATTTGAAAAATATTTTAAATTGCGTCAGACATTTTGATCCCTGTGATTTGAGAAAAAAAATATGCAGACCATGCTCAAATATATCAAACTGAAATCGGTCATATAATTCAGATTAGCCCAAACTCCCAAAGAGACACCTACTTTTCATCCAATATAAATGTATACTGCATACAGGCCTGAAAGGGAATCTATCACAAAGTACAATATTTGCATCATGATGGAAAACTTTTATTTTCAACTCTTAAAATCTTGGGCAGCAACGAGGCTCTTTTCTAACATTGTGACAATACCACGTTTTTTGCACGCATCGGGCACATTTTGGTTTAGCATGCGGAGATTGCCAAAATTCAACCTGTGCTGAGTATATAGCCAATGTCAAGCATTGTATTATGGGAGGGCCAATCCATATTCCTTTCAGAATCTTTTAATGCTGATACATGGATGAAGACTCTCTGAAGTACAACCGTTTGATGAGATTTTTTGTGGTCCCGTCATCCCTTGTGATACTCTATAAAGATAGCATTGAAAGAGGGTTTTTAAAACAAAGTTCTTTCGGCGTATTTTTTTTGGGCTTGGTAATGTTTTTTTTTTGCAGGCAGAGTACACTATGGTATGAATGCAAAATCATCCATCTTATCAAGTTATCACTGAGGGTAACTTTTATTTTTCAGCAAATATGTTCCTTGTCAAGAAAAATGGGCTTTTTTCCATGTTTATCAATCATTTACTTCATATCCCATGATTCTTGAGAAATCAAATTTGGCAAAGGTATCCATGACCCTGCTAAAGATATGAGTTCAAAACTGTACGCATGCATTTCCTGCGCTAATGTTGATTTCTCAAGAACACAGGCCTTTAAAAAACATAGACTGATCAACATGGATTAGTCTAAATAATCGACAAGGTTTTATTTTTGGCAAAAAAAAATTTAACCAGAACCATTTTATCTCGTTCCTTCATTTTTTTTATAGAGAGAGGCCATCTGTAGCTATGATAGAGAGAATGGAAGATAATTCATCTTGGTGAAGTTTTTTTTCAGCAATGTTGATCAGTCCATGATTTTTCCTTAATGTGTTGTTGTACTAGTTGAGCACAGGAATGCGGCAAAAATCGTCTGTAGGATGAAAGGAATTGCGTTCCTCCATGCCAAAAATTGAAGAAAAAGCCTGAGAAATTTGCATGGACAAATCCTTCTAATTTTTTCCATTGTGAATTTAGAAAATGAAAAAAATTACATGCTAAATGTAATTCATGTTGGACGCAAGGGCATTTATGGGCAAAAACATTTCAACACATTTTCCTAAGCTTCTATTCAAAATGCATGAAAATGAAGTAACAAAAATTTAAAAGAACTGTGTAAGAGTTGTCGCACATTATAAATGCCTGCTATCACTGTGTGTGTTTTCGGGGAATCCTCTGCCAAACAAGCAATCGTATAAAGTTTGGAATAATTATACGCATGCATTTCCTGTGCAAATCTGACCTGGAAGGTTTGCAGTCCGATCGCAGTCAGGGACTTGTTACTGCCACAAAACTGCTCCACCTGCTTCATCAGGTCCTCCTTCTCAGCCACCAGCGTGGTCAGCAGGGACTTGCGAGTGCCAGCAGCCAGATGAACCCCTTGCCTGGGCAAAGTGAAAATCTTGACCCCCACGCCCGACCACAAGGAACTCTCGGACACATTCCGGGAATCCAGGTACACGCGGACAGTGAACATGAAGTCTTGTCTCGTCCTATTGCTGGAACTGATGTGTGTTCGTTCAAACAAGTCGTCAAGCACTGATGTGTCCTTGGAGGTTTCCTTGCGAATCAACTCAATGCTGATGACCTTGTGTCCGGTCTTTTGTTTGGAAACCAAGTCTGCTGACAGTCTGGCCAACATTCCAGCTGATGATGAGGTGAATTGAAAATTGTCATCTTCATTTTTGTACACTGTTTGGGGACTGTAGCATGCAGGCAAGAATTTTAAGTTACAGTATATTAATCCTCCTGCATCCCATTCCTGCAAAAACTGGTCTTTCATTCCATAAGGGCTTCAGAACCAAAGAACAAATCCCAAAGGACTGGTACAACCAGCATGCACAGCATTGTCCTAGACTTCAAGAACAGCTTTGCTCCTCTCTCCCAAGAATAAACTACAAGAACACCTTCCACTGCCAATTCTTGAACTGTAGAGATCTAAAACTATGCATCCAATTCTCTTGAAAATCTTGTCTGAATCTATACATGTTTTGTGTGAAAGTATTTGTGTGTGAGTTCCAAAATTCTCTGAGTTGAATGATGATGTGTTGGGACAAAATAAACCATGAATATTATGGTTTATTATACTATATTTAAGAATTAGTTGGATTCAGCGCAAATTTGTGCCTAAATTTAACTGTTCTTATTCTCGAAATCTTGCAGTTTTTTAATCACAGTCACAAAATGGGATGCGCACATCTGGGATAAAATTCCATGAAAAAGCTTTTGAGTGAAAAAAAACGTGGTGCGCGTCTAACTCAAGGGTGCGTATGGTAATATATTAAATATGGCATTCACGCAAATTAATGGCAAATTTTCATGAGAATATCAGTTGTATTTTCATCATTTCCAAAAATCTTCAGAAATTATCTTTGTGGAACTGATGAAACTTGGCTCGCTTTAATCGATTGTTATTCGACTTAAAATGGAATACAGTAAAATCTCATTACAACAAATACCGTTACAACAAATTTTTCATTACAACAAACTTTTTTTCAAGTCCCGGCAGAAAACCCATAGACCATATGTTAAAGAAATTTCGTTATAACAAACTTGGGAATTCCGTTATAACAATCTTTTTTTGAGAAAATTTTTTCATTTTTGTGGAATAATTATAAAGAAATTTTTGGAAATTTTTTTAAAAACTCATCATTGAAGCCTGAATAAAAGTAGGTTTTGATAAAGGACAGAAATTCTTCAAAATGTTGATGGGATCCACCAAGGAGAGAGAGTTTTTCTGCCTCTCATTAAAACAACTGCCCATGAACACTGCAAAAAGTCCCTTGCCAGGGGTGTAGGATTGTTTGGACATCTTGATGGGGTTCATGGAAACACTGCCATTTCTGGTAGATGTACAGAAATGATGCCCAAAAAAGAAAACCTGTTCCATCAGAATAACCTTGCTAATTGACTTTGGTAGGATGCATTTTCTGGAATCTACCAAATCAAACTACAAGGGTTCTAACAAAAGTTCTTGGAGTAGCAAAAAAATGGCCTACAGTTGAGCTGAAAAAAGTTTTTGTTAGGAAAAACACATTCTTTGGCACACACAAAAATATCAGCCCTGTTTTTCAATTTGTTAAAAAAAATTGTAATTCTCCCTGGCAGAGTTTTGCTTTCCACTCAAAAGATGAGGCGCCCTTTTTTTTATGTGTCCCAGCTTTCCATTCAGAATTTTTGAAATCAACTTGGCATTTTTTCTAAGGGTTGCCTCCAGGTCATCCAAGGCAATTCCGCCATTTTCATCAACAGCCACCTTCACAGATGCCACATTGGCTGCCACTTTGGTGGCTGTGAAGGTAGCTGTTGATGAAAATGGCGGAATTGCCTTGCATGACCTGGAGGAAGCCCTTGGAAAGAATGCCATTATGATTTCAAAAATTCTGAGGAGGAAGATGGGTCTCAACAAAAAAAGGGCACCTCATCTTTGGAGTGGAAAGCAAAACTCTGCCATGTTGAATTAAAAACAAAATTTTATTCTGAAACAGGGCTGTTTTTTTTTGTGTGCCACAGAATATGTTTTCCCTGAAGAATAAATTTTTTCAGCTTAATTTTAAGCCATTTTCATTCCTATACTCCGAGAACTTTTGTTAGAACCGTTGTATGAACCAGGAAGTCCACAGAATTCATCCAAACATCCTGCCTGGGAACAGTTCTTCAGCTTCGACTTTCAAAGAATTAAAGTGAATGTGCCCTCTGAAAAGATTTTGAAAATGCATGCACCATTAATTGCTCTATGAGGTTCCAGTCCATCCTGGGACAGTGACTGTTCAACACCTTTTTTTTTTTTTTTGTACACAGTTAAGTGTTTTACACTTCAGTTCTGGATGCTGCGGAATAGTGAGAATTGTTTGAAAGAAGTTCTGGTGAAAATTACTGATGACATGATTAAGCCACACAAATAAATGGTCATTTTAAGTTGTGTGCTTTTCAACTTTTGTGCATTTTTTCCATCCCTTGCTTTTTTTGCTGAGTGTCTTTAGAGTAATGATTATAAGCTGGATGTACAGGGTGAAAAAAAATCATTGAAAATTCTTTGCCAGAATATTTGCATTGTTGGCAGCAGTGAACAAGAAATTTGTTCATAAGAAAATTACTGATTTTTTACACCAATAATGAGAGTTCTGAAACTGAAAGACAAACTTGATTCTGAATGTTTGCAGATCTGAGCTAAAAAAAAATGTTTCCAGTCATTAATATTGAAAATCTCGTTACAACAAATTATTTGTTATAACAAACTTTTTTGAAAGTCCCCACAAGTTTGTTGTAACAAGATTTTACTGTAGTTTGCAAATTGGTCACAAAATCAAATCAATTGCAAGTTTTTTCTTTTTTTTTTTGCTCACCCATACTTTCTGGCAGGTCCTTATCCTGTGAAGACTTGAGCGGAATGGCAGAATGTACTTCTATTTTTTGAGGCCGATAATTGTTTTCTGGTGATCTAGGCTCTTTTCTTTTGACCACCCAGATGCGAAAGATGTTCGGTTGTATGTCTGAAAAGAAAAAAGAATCCATCAAGTTAATTTCAAATTTGTTCAGGCGCTTTGGAAATACTGTATTAAAAGGTAGAGCAGAGATATCGCTGATTATTCGATTAGGCATAGGTGTCACTGGAATATTTAAAATAGTTCATTAAAGGCCTCGCGTAAAAATAAAAAGGTACTCTGGTTTCATGGTAGTTTTAACGATGAGGTATAGTCTCAAGCTGTATTGCTGATCAGTTTTGTTCGGATGCGCGGTTAGTTCTTGCAAGTCACGTTCGAGAAATCATGCGACATCTGTCCGACCTTCAAGAAAGTATAGCGCTCACCAGCGATTTCATTCTGGCTGGAGAACGAGTTGAACACCCGAGACGGATTGATGGCATCTTTGGAAGCCGGACAAGGAACAGTCTCACATGACTTGACTTCCCATTCTTTGTTCTCAATCAGCCAAGAATTCGCTCTCGACACCAGAGTAGAAAGTTTGTCCAGGTTCAATCTCGGAGGGAAGTCTATGTAAGTGGCCTCGGGTCTACGAGACCTGTTGAGGTTAAAACTCCCGATTCTCTTGGACATTTTCGTCTTCCCTTGTATCTTTTCACCATCAGCTCATTGATGATGCATCCCAAATTAGATAGGTTCTCAGTTGAAAAGCGAGATTACACACAACATCAAAATGTGTCAGAGTATGTGTAAAGATAACTAAAGAAAGTGTAAATGGAGTAACCTTGTTTTGTTTGTAAGGTATTGATGAAGGTTCCCCTAAATTCTCTAAGCCTCATTTCGAGTTAATCCTATTTTCAGTCATGCACGCACAAGTGTTCATATAATAAATTAATTAATGATCACAATTATTATTGACATTTAGCTCTTCTTCTTCATTTGATTCTGAGTTGATCCTATGTTCTTCATTCGTGCACGCATAAGCATTAATTCAATTAATTATTATTGTTCAATGTTCAATTTATTATTAGCTCTTCTTCTTCCTAATTTCTCCCTCCTACAGCAAACATCAATAACCGATAAAATCATATCCGAAAATTTTGTAAATGGAAGAGAGGAGTCCAAAAAATGATAATACTGTACATCATTCGAATATGCAAATGAAATGTTTTCTCGTATTTCCGCTATAGTGACCACTTACTAAATCTTGGACTGCAGCTGGATCACTATGAAACGACATCCTTCAGAAGTCATAGCTCCTTACAAATAATGACGCATGAAATAATTTTTTCTTAGGCGAAACATTTCTGAATAACGCATGTCAAATACAGCAGTTTTAACCCTTTGTTATAGATTATTTGAGGTCACTTATAGTCCGTTACTTCCAGAGTCGCTTCCTTGATCCTTCCGTATTGAATCCCATGCTTCGAGTGCAGCACTGTGGACAAGTTTAGTCAAGAGGAATATGCAAAATTATGGCAGTGTTACGTGGTTGAACGGGAAAGCATGAATTTAAATTTATATAGAGAAATTGTTTTTGCAAAACTTCGAAGACTTTATGATAAACCCTGTTTTATACGGGGTGCACAAAAAACATTCAAAGTGCAGGCATGTTTTCTTCCACGAAAAAAAATACTTGTATATTCGGGACAGACCCACACCGCAGACAAGAATCCTGCTGTAACTCCGTTATTCTTCTCTTCTCTATCCTGGAACAGAATAAATATTGTGGTATATAAATTGAAAAATTCTTAGGCCATCTTGTAATTTAATTTTTAAAATTGGTGGATTGCTCGGAATGAACTAGCCAATAACACTGTGTATAATTCAGGATATCCAGAACTTCGGGATATTGCACCATATCATGTAAGATAAATGTATAGCTCTCCAAAAAAAAACGTGTCCTTTTTGCTTCGGTACTTTTTTTTCATATTCCGCATCAATTCTTCGCACAAATTCAGTTGAAACATAAGGGGAAGCATAACTTTAAAAATATTGGAATAGCCTTGGATTTGATGTATTTTTATCGGTGACTATATGGTGGATTTTACTGTTCCGTATATTAGAGCATTTTTCCTGCCTATATCAACTTTTTCTCACTAAATTCGCTATGTTGTGTTTTTTAAATGCATCGCATGATTTATATTTATACATTTTTTTGACACATGCTGCTGGTCTTGGATCAATACACGCTCAACGGACGTCGCAAATTTTTTTTTTTATTGAGATATGAAATAGAAAATCATGAAGTTTCCTCAACGTTGGTACTTCGCCATTCAGTTCTCATACTTGCAGCGTGTACAATATTCAATCCAGCAAAAAAAATGATCATGCACGATTTTTTCACTTCTGAAAAAATTGGCAAAAACTTATGGAAAAAAAATCAGAAGAAGTAAAGGCAAATTGGCGAGTATTCGGCAGCAGATTCCGGCTCATAAAAAGAATGCCCTGACGCCGGTCGTTAGTCCACATTGATCCAACTCCGGCGCAGAAAAAAAACCAGGTGAGCCGATGTGCCCAGTGTTTATTGCCATCTGCTGTTGCTGTTGGTGCATGTGTGCTGATACTGCTGAGGCAAACTACGTATGTACACTGCTGCTGGTGAGCCAGCGAAATGGCACGCGGGTTTCGTGATCGACTCTCATCAAGAAACGGTGATTTATAAGTGCAACTCCGCCTGGCGGTGAGGCAAAAAGCGCGTGTGTTGGGAAGTCGGGTCATTTTTCTTACTCCTCCGCATGTCCGTATTTTTATACAGGGTGGACCAAAAACAGAAGTGAACCAATTTTCGACTCAAATTAACTTGGTAGCAAATTATGTGTGGAAATGATGAAAAAAAACTTGAATCTGATTTTGAGTAACCTAGTCCTCTCAAAGACATTTTCATGCTGGGTGTTACAGCTGTGGCAGAATAATTTGGTACGCTACCGCGCCTGTTCTCCATACACGGGTACAAGAAACACCTGCAGTACGGAATTCGATTACTTTCAAGAATTCACAGGAATGTTCCAGAATATTCAACCTGCAACAGATTGACGCCGCCATTTTGATTAAACCACAGTCAGTCTAACGCGAGATCTTGTCAAAGTCAGTCAAATTTGTGTGTCATCAAATTTGTGTGATTATTCTTGATTGGGGTTTAAAAACAAAATACACTTTATCTTGTTCTTTGGGATCTTGAAAACAAGATCCCCAGGTGAACCCCACACCTGATTACAGTGTTTCATTTTGAATTCCACGCCGCCTTTTGTACCAGTTCAAGTACAACAGCCATGAGGATGGCACACAGCAAGCTTGTAGTGGGATTTGGGAGTGGAGCAACATATCCCACTGCTCTTTTTTTTTGTGGCACTTCTCACACCCTTCCACTGAATTTTTAGAATGTGTGTATCCTTTTTAACCCTGGGGCAGCAGCAGGTCAATTTCCAACACACAGCAGTGACAGGAAATTTTTGCATGTTTGTGCATTTCAATTTGACTGAAGGTCACCAAAACTCAGCTTTGGGTAAATAGTCAAAGTCAGGAAAAATTCCAGAGAGCAAAAACCATTGTCTTCAAAATCCTCCTTTATGCAAATCATTTGGCTGGATTGCAGAAAAAATGCCCCCAGTAGACAGTAAATGATTTTTTTTTTCAGGAATGGAGAAGCATTTGGGATTTCCCCCAACTTTGGCTCTTGGGATCAGGCTAAGTATTTCCCTTTTTTCTTCTACCAGTGGCACAAAATTGAGCAAATAAATCCCAGCAGGGCTCTCAATGGGTTGAGGCACCTTCAAGTTTGCTGCAGGTTAAATAACTGGTCATGTAGCTTATTCATATATTTACAAAAACCAGGCTCTGGCAAACAGCAGCTTAGTGGAAGGAGTTGCCTGATAACTGTTTTTCTTCATTCAAATAGTTCTCATTGTGACCATGTTGTCGCCCTTACTGGGACCACAAAACTACATACGAATTGAAAGGGAATCAAACAAGCTTTCATTCTGTTTTTTTTCAGTGTCATACCTTAGTTTACTACCCAGCTATTTTGAGTCAAAAGTTGGTTCACATTTTTTGGCCCATCCTGTATGTATACTGTACATGAATATATAGGATACTGTACACTGCTTGTTGTTGGAGAACGAGAGCATGTATGAGCCCGTGTGACCAGCACTTGGTGAGCTATTTAAGGCTGTATAATGCTCGTCCAGTTTTATAGTCTGAAAATTACAGGCTTTTGGGGTTATCTGAAGCAGTATATGGTAGTTATGTACGCTACGTACACGCAGCAAAGGTGTCATTTCCTCATAGTTATTCATGCAACGCAAGGGACCAGCTATGTTTTATCGTTCTTGGTACTTAATGTTCATCATGGGCATAATGGAACGACGTTTTTGATGAAAATGGAGACTGGTAAAAACGCAGCGAAGACAGCTTTCCCAACAGACCATGGAATCAAATTAGAGTTTATTTCATTCTAATTTATCTAGTATATTCATCAATTTATGTCACGAGACTCACGACCCAGCGCCGGCAGATGTCACCAGCACTGCCTGGAAGTTTTCAACAAAGAACATTGCTTATGTGAGTTCATACGGTTCGAGAACAACGATGACATCGTCTTTGGCTAATTTTCTATGATTCCTTTCGATTTTTGCAGCAAAATTTGCCACAATTACTGTATTAGGGACGTATGTGCCTAGTATTATTGTGCGCTTTTCATATAGTGTGCTGGTGATCAGGGCGACTATACATATATCACGGTTCGGTACTTCCTTATGGCGATTCGCGCTTGTTCCTATAGATGTCAATAGCTACAGCATTCGGCTGCCTCTATCTTAATGAAATCCCACCTTTATGAAAATATTTTCGCCGTATCGGCGACGGAACAGAGCTCAATGTTCATAAGAATCTGTTCAGAGTTTGTAATTTTTAATAGAGTTTTCAAGCATGTTTTGTGTTGCTCATATCCATGCTGTAATCAGCAATATTTATAGAGAACGCATCTCTCATATTTTTTTTCCATCGTCATAAAACCTCAGTTATTAATAATTCGGACTGATTAATGATTACTTATATTAATGCTGTAAACAGGCGTAAAATTAACACGACTGTCAATTCTGTATGACGATGCTACAGCCAAAAGGCGTCAATTTTTGTTATCTGTTTATTTATTTATTCTTCTGAATTACTCCATATTTGCAACTTGCTGAGTTGCTGGTGATTAACAGCAGAGTGGCTCCATGTATGTCTGTAATTATAGCATTAAAAATGAAGAGTGCTGGTATATGATCCTTCATCTCATTAACCCAGCTAACTAAATTAGTTTGAAGTGAGAACACACGTTTTACGCATTTCACACGCGGGCTACTTTTCATTATGTTGATTACACGCGTCTTTAATAAATACTGTACAATAAACAGTACAGTATTTGCGCTTTCCAGATTTCGAGTCAACTATAGTTTACAATCGAATTGTAAAAAAAATATTTTACGGTTGGGGTGTCAGGAAAATCCTGTGTAAAACAAATTATAGAATTGAACCTCGATAAATCGAATTTATCTCCGTCGATTTTTTTCAAAGTCTCCATATACTTGATCAAGCTGTATTTTCCCTAGTAACCATGCATTGTAATTTCCCTAACTCAAAAGGCTTTTCCTCTTAAATCACTGTAACTCGAATATCCCGAGGTATTTCAGCTATTATTCTATTGACACGGGATAGAGAAAAGCATTAAAAATATGGAACTTGTGTTTTGAAGGGAAGTGCATGGATAAGACCAACTGAACAAATGAACCCGGACCTCCAAGTTTAGCATTGTCCTCTGTCAACTGATTTAGAAAGAAATTTAAGGCCCAGAATTTCAGCAGTGACCATTTTCTGTAATTATCCTTTCTTTCCCACAACAAAAATGCCTGTTTTCTCAATTTTTTTTTTTTTATGTTCCCTTAGTGAAATCCAACTTAAAGAGCCGGATTGGGGAAATTGGTGCACACTGGGGATATGCTTGTAATTCTACACAGTGACCCTGCTGTGCACCTAAAGTGTACCAAAGTTCTTCTGTTGCACATGCATATAGCTAATGTGCACCAATTGTGTGTTCACACCAGGATTACTCAGGGTCACATTTGTAAACAAATAAATTACACCAAGTTTCCAGTTGGTGCATTTGTGTGATACTCCTGTTATGTCACATTTGTGCACTAAATGTAGTGCAGGAATGGTAGCAAAATTTTGTCTACAGAGGTGCCTGCTTGTAACCCCAGAATAGCCCATTCACACCAATTGTGACCCCAGTGCGCACCATTTGTGGGGTCACACAAAGAATAGCTCCCCACTTGGGAGGTTTGACTGCAATACATAGCACATTACATACAGTATACCTTTTCTGGCGGTGTTCTTTATTGAAATGTAAAAAATGATCCAACTTTCGAAAATGCCGTATATACATGTATATCCCAGCAGCAGTGCCTGACTGACGCATCCTTGCCGCTCTAGTAATTGTTTTCTGCTCATATACATGCAATATGCAGTACCAAGTTATCTCGCAAGACCAGCTCGCTATACACAAACGGATCATATTAATTCCGACAATATATGCTCATGGGTTAAGAAGCGGACCGAAAGCAGCCTAAAGCTGGATGGTGCTGGAACGTAGAAAAATAAAAACAGCGCGAGAAAAAAAAAGGTATCCGTGCGAGAAGATTATTTGCCCAGCGTTCAATTTGCCGCTCCAACAGACAAATTCCTCCTTGGAGAAAAAGCGGCCGCTATAGTGGCTTTATACATGGGCCCATCCAATGCATGCTTCTTTCTTATCTTTTGGTTCATATACACACCCTTATGCAGCAGATATTTCATTAGAGAATAAGAAAAATGGTGAAGGGGCTCAGTTGACGCTATCAGCTATCCGACGACCGCTTTTTCTGCGGTCGAACTCAATTATATCGAAAAGCACAGCATACCAATAATAATAAATCATCGTATTTACCCCACGAAATCAAAGCAGAGCCATCTGCAACACAAGTTTTGTGCTTCTCCGAAAGATATGGCAAGAAAAGCGAGACATATTTTCTTAATCCCACGTCGTATTCGAGGGGAAAATATTCAGACTTGTC